GTGACATACTGAATCCGTTTATGTCATATAAGATATGTTAATATAAAGAATATTTGGCTGTGCAACAGATAATAAAGACACACATCATACGGTGTACATATGAGCATAAAGCTATGCTTCAGTTCATCTCCCATACTTCTTTAAAGCTAATTTAAAGCGTTCGATTAGTTCGGAACACAATTCGAACCTGTTCTTTTATAGGCGAAACATAAACGCTTCTCAATATTAGAGACAAAGTGGATCCATCAGGATGATCGGTGCTATAAAAGTTTAACAGGGCCATAGCAAGAGTTTTTAAAGACACATATATTGTTATTTCAACAATCATTTCAATGAACACAGTACTAGCACATGATTGATTTTTTTTTTACTTTCCAAGTTTAACTAAACTTAAAACATTCCGTCTTTTGAATAAAAGCTGAAACGTCCACCGTTGAAAATAAAAACTCTCGACCTAGCAGCCTCCTTTTAACTGAGATTAAAATCAAACAGTCACAAAGATTGTGACTAGGGGACTTCATCTGCTCGCAATGTGCCTTTTCGGACAATTAATTAATTTCATTATTAATATGAAAACGCTAGCCATGATGATCTCTCAGACAACCTGCCAATCACCTTAGTTTCATTCTGCTGAGGACAGGCACCTATGTTAATATTAGGAATTCTGCTGAATTTGCCGAAATACGTATAGATATATACAAAAAATAACGATCAAAATAAAAGCTATAATTCATTAAAAAAGAAAACTGATTTTAAAATATTTTCGACGTAACAACTCAAAAAACTAAAAACAAAATTACACCTAACAGTAGTTAAACAAATACACTTTTTAACCTAGTAATTTCCTAAGGTCTTTCACCAGCAACGACTTTTTTTCGCCCCTTAAACATTTTTCTATCAGAGACCTTGTTGTGAACCAACTTACATCATAACAAAGCTCCAATTCACAGAGTTAAGTAACTTCATTTACGCAGTCCTTGTAATATTACCAGCGGACTCTGTGCCAATAGTTCCTGTGTGACCAGGAACCCATTAAAGAACCATTCTGTTATTTCTTATTGGTGCTATGGTCTGTCATAGCTATCTACCAATATTTTGAAGAAAACTTCAAACGAGACCAATGTCTTATTTATTACTTTAATATATGCCTTTACTTTATATAGTTGCCTTTTAGTAAGGTTGACTAGAGTCCAGATGTCAATGGCTTAAACTCCAGCTGGAAAGGACCATTTTTCTAATTCATTTGATCAGGAATAAAGACTTCGTGTATTATACTGTAGCGAATTCCCCGTTCATGCAAATCTTCCCTATTACAGGTAGTTTCAACTGGCAAGACTATTATAGATGTTGATAACAGAATGTAGCTTAACTGCACTTAAATCTTACGTATTTTTAATAAAGAAGTATTAAAGGGTAAGAAGGGTGTGTACTCCCAATAAATATTTTTATTAGTTGAAAATTTAATATGCATATATCTTCTTGTGGTTATGTACATATACTTTATATTAAAAAATAAAAAACCATCTTTTATTTTGAATTAAAAATTAAAATAAATTATTAACATTGTTCTCTTCTCATTAATTTCAGGCTGATAAATGCACCGTCATCAAATTATCGTGATATTCATGGTGCCAAAAAGTGTCAATCATAAATTCTATATAAAAAAGTAATGAAAATAAATTATTACTTCTACTTATTTTGCTCAAAAGTAGAAATAAAAGCAGAACGAGTGAGTCCAAAGTGAATGAGATTCAGATACTTTTTCGATCCCACGCATGTGCATTAAATGGAAACTGGCTTCCAAGAAACAGTCAAGTTCAGCGCGTGCGCTTATGAATAATGCAATTTTGTTGTTTTTTTGAATGTTTTTCTCCGCAACAATAAAACTTTTTATTGTTACATAAAATAATAAAAAAATTCCAATAAATTTATAATAATAAAACCAAAATGAAATATCTTTTGTAAGGTGCCAAATGCAACAACCAAAAGTGGGTCAAAACTGCAGACGTGAGCTTGCGGGCGTTAAAAATAAATTAGCAAGCAGCAAAATTAAAAGCGAAAAAAATTGTCTCGAAAGGTGCTTGATTAAGTGCAATAATTACAAAAAGAGCCGAGAGCAATTAATATTTTTCAGCAATTTTTTATAAATAATTTAAATATTTTTGCAATTAAAAATGCTTGCAGCACTCAACGCCATAAGCCTAACATCTTAAAATTAATTCACTGATAAACTTTAACCAACGAGAAAATAATTAAACAAATTAAAAATTAAAGAGAATTAATATATAAAAACAATATTTTTCAAACTCTTAAACTCTCTTAAATTCGCTTAAGAGAAAATTTTCGAAAATTGTCAGTAAAATTCGAAAATGAATTCTCCGCATTTGGTAACCGCAGCGAATACTCATCACATTCACAATCAACAACAAAATGCCGGTCTCACCAACACAAATATGAAAAACTTTATTAACACATACAACAACATGAGTAACAGCAACGGACTTAATAACAGCAGCAGCAACAGCAACAGCAACAATAGCAACAACAGTGCAACAACAAACCTTGCTAGCACGAATAAGTTTGCGCCTGCACGTAGACTTGCTGGAGCGCGTCAAACTTTACGTCTTGCCATACCGAAACAACAAGGCGATACTTATAGTCTCCAAAATCCATGTAATGGAACAAATGCGTTCTACCGGCATTCGCCATCGCAATTGCCACCAGCTCCCATACTAAAACGCAACACCCCAAGCCCTGCTACTGCTTCCGTTGCTACCTACTCACATACACCAAAATCTTCCTCGCCTTTGGAATCACATAACTTGCCAAATGTAACGCCGACCGTTTTAAGTGGAAATAATGGTTCCACTATAGTTACACCTTCAAGTTGTGGTAGTGGAAAGTTATTAAATCTGCGTAAACCTAATATTACACTGAATTCATCGGACATACGCAATAATAATGATCTATTCGCTTTTTCTAAGGATTTATCACCATCTGTAGATATGGGTAATATATCTTAGAGTTATTTAGCTTTTTACATTCATTTCAATTGAGTTCTTACTTTTCAGAACACACACCCATGTTTGCTGATATTGCCTCATCAATTTCACCATCTTCGGGCTCACCAACTCATCACTTGAATCGTTTATTCAATCTGAGTCCTTCGACAAAACGTAGTTATGGAAATGTAAGTACACGTTTTGTTTCAAAGAAATACAAATATTTATACGGACAGCTAATAAAAACCTTAATAGGAAAATTATAAATAAATATATATGTATATATAAACTACTTCTTTCCTGCATTATTCTAAATCTAACCATTGATCCATTATACTGGGTTATACTCTTGGTGAAAACAAAAATTTTGATATTCTGCACAGGAAGTACTATCGTTATCATTATTAACAATACGCATATATAGTGTACACCAACTACATTAGTTGCTGCTAGTTGCTAATAATTTGAAACTAACATATATACAAACTACTCCGAATATTAGTCCCATGTGATGCCTCAATGAATCTATAGGCACACTAAAATGATAACAGTGTCTAAGTGCTATCCTCAATTTAAGATGACAGTAGACACCTGGACATAGTAAAGAAGAAAGATATGGGGTAATGTTTCTCCTTCTTTTAAAATTTAACGGAATTAATATTTTGCAAATTTCGGTAAGAGATTACAATGCTTCTAAATGTGATTGTTAAATGACGAAAGTATTATAGAAATGGGTTCTGCTTTTCTTATTTGTGTAGTGGAGTTAAGTCATTTTTGGATTTAACTTTTACACTACATACAGGAGCTTACCCTTAGACCTCTCATGTATACCATATTTACCCAATTATATTATGTATACCAGCCAATTCTGTAAAATGCTGAGTGAAACGTTCACCCATCTTATTTGCTCATGTCCCTATGATTGCCAGAAAACGGATCTACAATCTATTCTCCGCTTTTATTGAATAGAACGAGACATTATTACGTTTGTATGCATTCAGTTATCGTTTTCGTTTCTTGAGATAGTGAAAATCCCTATTGTATTATTTTGTATTGAAACGAAAGTAGTCGTGCATCGATATATATATTACGAAAAAGTATATGGAAAAAAACCTACAAATTTATAAAAAATGTGAAAGATAAATTCACTATTTAAAATTGAAATGTACCTGCTGTACAGTTGATGTAGTAAAGTCTCTGTAGAAGAGATCAGGAACAGGTTTTTAGGTTTTTTAGTATCCTGAATTTCACAACATTAATTGTTATTAAGAAACAAATATCTTGAATTTCACTTTTTGTTCAGGATCACAGTTATGATTTGTTTATCCTCTAAACAAAAATTATTAATTTCTTTCAACTATGATTTTAGGTAATTCTTACCCTTTAGTCACACCTATCCTTACGTAGATTGCGGTACGCGATATATGCTTAAAGGACATTGTTATTGTCTTTTAATAGGTAGAAGTGTGGCGTTTTATTAATTTCTATTATATTAGCTACCTAAAATGCATATATGCATAACATTTTGCAATAAAATGGGTTTATGATGCTAAAATATTCTGAAATAATTTTTAATAATTTTTCCATATTTGTAACATAATAATATAATAATAATAACATTTGTGGGATGTCACAAATAAAAAACCTTGGGTGGTTAACACAAACAAACAGCTTTGTTTGCGACGCACTAATTAACGAAGCATGAAATTTTTACCTGTTAAAGGATCGAATCCTTATATGTGATCCCAGACATTTTCCATCTATAAAAAGGAGTAAATATTGTGAGCAGTTATCAGTCAATGTACAGCGACAGACTAAATAATATCTGTAATATATCAGTTCATTTCATATATCAGTATAGTCGTAATAATTCAAAATGAAGACATTACCGTTAAACAAACCTAAAAACTTCAAGAAGATGTCCATAGGCTATTCTTTGTTTATGCATAAGTTGGAACTTAATTGTCGGAAAAAGGACTTAATACGTCGATACTCATCTAAAATCAATCTCACCAATAGTCTGATACGCAATGCAAGGAAAAATATTAAAAATTGCGCTCCAGGTGTCTTGAAAGCGATGAACCGCGAAACACGTTTTAGAAATAAATTGAGGTATAAACTGGAATCGAAAAGAATGAAGAAATCCTTGAAGAAACAAAGAAGACTGACTAAACGAGAGGAAAAGACTGACGAGGAAAACAAAGAAGAGAAAGCAGTTCAGAGCCAAACTCTCCACCGTAATATAATAATTTAATGGAACTCTCCAAATAATGTGACCAGTGACTTATTCAGTCAATCATGATGACGACGATTTCGAAGGATCCAATTATTAAATTTTTGTGATATTGTAAATATATTAAAAAGAAATGTTCATTTAAATTATATTAAACATAGATTAAAACTTTATAATAAAAACTCTAAAAATTAAAATCCAATTGTTGTTCAATTACTATTTGAAACCAAATGGAGATTATTATACTTTGAATGTCAGATATATATTGTCCATGCTTCAGTTAAAATTATTTTACATTCCTTTTACAAACGTGTTCTATATATTCTATAAACCGACACATTTCCACTAAATCGATATAAGCTTATATTGAAATATTTTAGTTATTCCGTTGTTTAAGTTCTTAAGAGCTCATTGGCATAATTCAGTACGTTTGCCTAATATATAATATATATGTAATTGGACTACGTACAAAAGTTTGTCTTAGTAAGGGAAACCAGACATAAATCTGGATAACTAAATGTTCTTAAAAATTAGTTTTTTAAATATTTGTGAATCCTTACCACCTGCCAATGTTAATTTCTCTACTTTGATATCAAATAGCATAATAGCAATTATATAGTTGCGCAATTTGCAACTATATAATGCGGTTTATTTCTAATGAGGAAAGTTTGCTGGTTTTAATGGTCAAGTCCGTGGAACTTTCTCTTACTTGCTTATTTTTTGTTTTCGATTCTCTGAAGTTATGTTTTTGGCAGAGAATATATTATTATAATATGGAATACCTCTATTTCCGGTTTCCCCTGTTTTAACATAAAGATCCTCAAACTTGTAAATCCTTTGTTATAGTAAAATTTTATGGCCAAAACAATAATTAACTTAACAAAAAATAAAAACAAATGGATTTCAAAATTTTAGGTTTATTACTCCCTTTTCTATTCAAAATTTTTTTGCTCAACTTATCGAGGTCTTTTCAGTCTTGTTTTTTTGATAGTCTTTGACTGAATATTAATTTGACTTAATAGATCGGTCTTAAAATTAGTTCGGTAAATATTCTTTTATTCCTAAGTTAAAATTAAGTCGCCCAATACAATAGTGTACATATATTATTATTATATGTAGACCATAGACGGATAAAGAAGCCATCAATAGAACTATTTTTAGCATCTCGTTGAGTCTCGTTAAGCATCTATTAACGTCTCTTTAATGGTTAAATTCCCAAACTGTTGAGCTACTGTATTTTGTCATTCCTAAAGTTTACTTTTGTTTATTTACTCTTACTTTACTTTTGTATTTAGAACACGAGACATAGCAATATTTTTTATTCTGTTATAAATTATGATATATTCTTTAATATCCATTTGTTTTCTTTCACAAACTATTTATCCCAAAGCTTTAAAGGTTTAGCCTCTTGAAAATATTCCAATTTTTATATTTGGGAAATTTCGAAATACACCAATAATCTGATTGTAAAGTTTAGAAGTATAATATTTGTTACCTGTCATATTAATCAAAAGGTTAGGTTTGCTAGGTCAGGATAATAACTTTTTACTTTTCGGAAATAAAATAATACAAAAACAGAACAATTAATAAGAAATTGATGGCACAATTTTGCAAAATATTTCCGGAAAATTTGTAACATAATAATATAATAATAATAACATTTGTGGGATGTCACAAATAAACAACCTTGGGTGGTTAATACAAACAAACAGCTTTGTTTGCGGACACACTAATTACCGAAGCGTGAAATTTTTACCTGTTAAAGGATCGAATCGTTATATGTGATCCTAGACATTTTCCATCTATAAAAAGGAGTAAATATTGCAAACAGTTATCAGTTAGAGTATAGCGACAGACTAAATAATATCTGTAATATATCAATTCATTTCATATATCAGTATAGTCGTAATAATTCAAAATGAAGACATTACCGTTAAACAAACCTAAAAACTTCAAGAAGATGTCCATAGGCTATTGTTTGTTTATGCATAAGTTGGAACTTAATTGTCGGAAAAAGGACTTAATACGTCGATACTCATCTAAAATCAATCTCACCAACAGTCTAATACGCAAAGCAAGGAAAAATATTAAATATTGCGCTCCAGGTGTCTTGAAAGCGATGAACCGCGAAACACGTTTTAGAAATAAATTGAGGTATAAACTGGAATCGAAAAGAATGAAGAAATCCTTGAAGAAACAAAGAAGACTGACTAAACGAGAGGAGAAGACTACCGAGGAAAACAAAGACGAGCAAGCTGTTAAGAGCCAAACTCCCCACCGTAATATAATAATTTAATGGAACTCTCCAATTAATGTGACCAGTGACTTATTCAGTCAATCGTAATGACGACGATTTTGAAGGATCCAATTATTAAATTTTTGTGATATTGTATATATATTAAAAAGAAATGTTCATTTAAATTATATTAAACATAGATTAAAACTTTATAATAAAAACTCTAAAAATTAAAATCCAATTGTTATTCAATCACTTGAAACAAAAAGGAGGATATCAGAAAACATCAGATGTATGCATACATTGTGTTCTATAAATTTTTTTTACTTGATTCAGGATATTTCTTTAATCTGCTGCATTTAAAAGATCATTTCGAATACGAAGACATCGACAGCTTTAGTGAATTTGATTCTATTTGATTTGACTTTAGTACTTACTTTGCTTATAAAAAAGTTTGTTGAGAATATGTTATACTTACATAGGTATCAGCTAAACATATCCTAAAAATATTTGTTTCAAAACCTCAGTTTAATGTACTTTACTCGGAGCTTGATCGTTTTGTTCTTGAAAACATCACCTTTCAACGCCAATAACAATGATTTGAGTGAATTGAGTGTCCTTTTGAATTGGGCATACAACTTTCGGTGACTCAAAATTCAATTAAAATACTTTCGCAATTATGATATAAATTTTTGTTTGGTTGGCATTTGTACTGGTCCTCATTTATATCCTCACGATTGTTTGAAAACCCTGCACATGATTTCTATAGAGGGATAAGCAATAACCATCACCATAAACTGACTTGTATTGTATTTGTGATTGTATTTTCACATAACTCATCACTCATGAATTTATCACTATAAGGTTGGATCACTATAAGGTTGGAAAGGCATAGAAAAATCTCTCATAAGTTTAATGACGATTTCTTGAACGGTTTTTGTCGTAGATTTTAAACTCTATAGATTTTTTTTGAATATGTGAGGTGCTTGCTGTTTTTATAAGTTATAATCATTAACAGTTAATGATTAATTCAATTCAACAAAAGGTCATGACTTCATATTATTGAAAATATATTTTATAACACATTATTTATTGTATATAATTAAATAGAATAACACAATAAGAAAGAATAAACAACAACAATTTATAATAGATAAATGATTAAGTTTATAATTTTTTTTAATAAATATTTGAATAAACGAAAGCTAGCCGATTGCCTAGCGGCTGCTTAGTATGCAATTCAGTGGGAAATGTGAAGAACAAGTTCTAAAACAGTTAACACCTTCGAACATAATACGTCGCGCTAGACAACGTAGCGTAAATGCTAATGAAGTGGTGTGGAGATATTAGTTTAGGTCATTATGTAGCCAATAATTATGAAGTTTCTTTTACACTCCCTTTAAAGAAATTTGCGTGCCGACATGTGCTACTTTTATGAAAAATTGACTTTTAGGGCGGTGGTCTGAAGTGAAGTGGAGCTAGCCCACAAAGAGTTTTAGTTCTGGTTTTCAAAGAGTTCTAAGAGCTTTTCGGGTAGCAACTTGTTTAGTTAAAATTAACAGTTAAATTGTTTTATATGTTAATTAAGTTAATTATGAACTAAAAGTTTGTTCATTTGTCTTGTATGGTTTGTTTATATTAGCAACAAAATTAATGTGAAAAAGATATTCAAAAACAAATACTGACCACAACAAAAACAAATAGCCGAAAAATTCATTTCGGCTGAGCTTTTGGCCAAATGTTCTGGTTAAATGGAATAGTATTTATGTATAAATTTATTTATATATTATTGTATAAATAAAATTCAAATATATATATATATAAAAATATGTATATAATGAGAAATTTAAAAGAATATCAACAAAATTCTTTGCTCGTCTATAGTATATTTTTTTTTTTCAAAGTTTTTTAAATTTCAAATTTTTTAAATGTTTTTCATTAATGTTCTTCTGTAGTTTATAAAAACAAAACCAATTGAAAATAATGATAAAAAGAACAAACATTGAAATTAAATATGAAATTAAAATCAAAAACCAAAAAAAAAAAAATTAAAAATCTAAACAAAAATTTTATGCCGTTTTGGCATTTGGCGTTTTGGCGTTATTTTATTTTATTCCAACACATTCGTGCGGTGTCGAGAATTTTTTATGCCAACACACAATTGAGTGATTATCTGGTTTCGGAAAGAATTCCATTTTCAGTATTTGTTGAATTGAGAGACGTGCCAGTTCGTGCGACTGTTTCCTCTTTCGTTGCTAATAATTTGAATATTGAATAAACTAAAGCTAAAGTGCAAAAAATAATAAAAAAAAATTATTAATTTATTTATTATAGAATTGTGCTTAATAAAAAATAATTTCTATATTTGTTGTTTTTTTTTGTGTTATTCAACTCAACTCTTAAAGTGTGCGATAATAAAATTGCAACACTGCAATATAAACAATGCACATGCAAATGCACTTGTAGATCTTAATAAATTATTATTATATTATATGAAGTAAATGAGGTAAATAACATTTGCCATTTCAATGAAATGCTAATATGTAAACAGTCATTTGTATGCAAAAATCTTAACCGAAAAAGGGTAAAAAATTCAATTGAGCATGGGCAATCGTATGAGTAGTTTATGGTGTAAAAAGTCAACATTACAAATTGCTGATAAAAACACAATAAACAATCTGAATGACAATAAGACAAACAACTCCAATTCCAATTCAAATTCCAATATAAATAATAAAAGCGGCATTTTTCGAACGCACAGTAGTCGTTACCCTTCTCTAAGTTGTATTTCCAGAGATAAAAAAGGTGATTTACCCAAAAAGAGTAACACTACCAGTGATATAAATATAAGTGCAGATAAAGCACCAAATGAAATTGTAATAATTAACATCAACACACCAAACACACTCTTAAATAATTTAACTAAAGAAGCAACAGTAACACCTACAACACCGACAATAACAACAACACCGAGAACAACAACAAATACAGAGAAGCAAGCAATATCAACAATTGAACAAGAATTTGAAAAAATTATAACAAATTCAAACGAAACTGCATTATCACACGGCAGACCAATAACAATACAGCCGACGACAAGAACTAAAGCATTTATAACAACAACACCAACGCCAGAGATAGCAACAACAATTTCCACTAATATTAAAACGAATCCAAAAGTATCAACATCACAAACGTCAACAGAGAGTTTAAAGTCAGCTTCAACAAAAGCAACAACAATGAAATTTAATCCGAATTTACCCACCACTGTCAAGGTGAGAAATTATTTAAAATTTAAAATTTTTTTCACTCTGCTCACTAACAAAAATGGCAAAAAATAATTTGTGCTATTACCTACTGTTCACTGTCAAATGGTGATTGGGCAAAAATATTAATGGAAAATATTTTTTTTAAGTTAACAAGTGTTTTGTTTACTTTTTTTCTCGTTTTGTTTATGTAAACAAAATCAAATTAATACTACAAAAAACAAACACAGCAACATATACAAAAATTAAAAAAAATATTAATAATTTTTATTACGTTTTAATTTTTACAAACTGACATAATCACAAAAATCGAGTCTTTATAAAAATTACTTAAAAACTTATTAATAGATATTCTTTTCATTGTATAATATCATGTAAACAGCTGTTTTCGTATGACCCTGTATAGTTCAGAAATTCTTTAAATTCATGTTCAAGGTTATAAACAAAATGAAATTGTGTCATTCCTATTTCATTTTGCATACGAATTTGTCTCACTTATTGACCACATGGGGAGTATGGGGGTATGGGGAACAGAAATTTCATATTTAACAGGAAATATTGAAGAGCATAACCATGACGTCGTCCGATTGTGGGTTTGCCTATTATTATTTGTATCATTATTTTTGTATGAAACACATGTAAATATATTCACAAACATGTTAACTAATTAGGCATTGTTTTGAGTTCGGAGGGAAAATTGCGCTATTAAATGGGTTAATGCGGAAGTTTTTTTTGTAAGTAATTATCTGAAATGTTTTATAAAATGTTTACACTGTCGGGCACTTCAAAGCATAGCACCTTTGCCATTATGAGGGTGAGCAAGTTCAAGAGTGATATTGTTTTATGTATCAAATATATTTGTTAACATAAATAGGAGTTAAATTTAAATCTTAATATTTAATTCATATTCTTTTGTATTTTCTATAATATCTATTTCAATGTACGTTTCAGAAACAATTTTTGTTATTTCTACAAATATTAATATATTCTTAAATATAATATTTATATACTATTATATTTAAATTATAATAAATTTAATATCTCTACAAATGTAATCACTACTTACTTACTTAAATGGCCATACCAATCCAATACCACACCGATAACGAGTTGTTGTCGCCATTTAAAACGAAGAGTTATCCTTTTTTCTAATAAAAAAATATAATACAGAGGTTTCGAAAAGTAATGCAAAATTAATTTTTGACTGACCATAGAAAATCGCCATTATCAGTGGTCTTGGAATTATTTCTTATATTTAATTATTCGTAAATAGATTTTTTTAACTGTAAGTACGAAAATTTGAACTCATGCGCTGTCAAATTTGAAGCTTAAAGTCAGTATTCATTAGCCAACTGTTCCAAAGCCGTACTTGACTTATATATTCGAAGTAGGAGTTTTCTTGATTTGCTGTAAAAGTTTTATTAACAAATTCACTTGCTGTGTTTATATTAGAACGAAATCATAAACCAGCTGTACAAAGAATAATTGAATTAATTAATTATATTTCAGTTTTTTTAATGTCGTAAAAGAATAAAGAATTCAACCTTTGGTACTTATAGTTTCAAAAAATTATGGAAATTTGGCAATTATTGAAGCAGTTCTATAGTCAGCCAAATATTCAATTAATTAAAATAACATAAAAATAATTTTTGTTGTTGTAGTTCACTGCTTTTCCAAACCTTTCTATTAAATACAATAGTTTTTTTACAATTTTTAGTATTTTACAGTGATTAGCTTCGTATAAAATATTTTCATTATTTTTAATATTAAAATGTTCTAAAAATAAATTATGATATAGCGACATTTATAGGAAGCGAGCTTGAGATTTATATAATTTTGATATTAAATATTTATTGTTTTTATGACCAAATTTATATTTATTTCTATTATTTTTAGTTGTTCAAATAATACACAACTTTTTAAATTATTTTTAAAAATTATATTTTATTTTCAACAATATTCTGAACAAGGTCTACAGTCATCTTCACATTTAATGAAATTCTAATTTTATTATTGTGAGAAATGCAAAATATTCAAATCATATGCATGTGCTTAATAATTATTTCCAATATAAGAGCAAGATTCTGTACATTGTTTACAAAACCAGATGGCACCCCGAGGTGCAAGCTTGATGACGTCAGGAATATATCTCACTAGTTATGCTTCGTGCACTCCCGAAAAGTTGTAGGTTTTAGAAGTCTATTTAAAGACATAAATTAATATAATATGTATTTACCGTCTAGCAGTCCATTTCGCGTTTTTCTGCAAATGACGCCTGGAGCATGACATTCCCCTTTGTACCACTTTCATTACGTCACTGTTTGTATTAGATGTAGTATATTATTATTGACTAATATAAATGTAAACATAACTTGATTAAGTTAATTGGTTTTTATTAAATTTAATAAACCTTAAACACATCATATAAAATTCCAACTTTGTCTAAGATAAAATAAGACACCTTCTTCAGTACATCAAATACTAAATATCCGCTTGTAATTAGATTAAAAATTATAATAGTATTTCCTATGAAAGTCACAATTAAAAACAATTACCGGATGTTTACTCAGTGGTAAATAATCTATAAAGTCAGCTATGTGTATACCTGTCAGAAGTAATTTACTTTGGGGAAACACCACTCAACTCGAAGATACAAAATCTGTAAACAAGCAAATAGATTTGATAAGCGTTCACACGCCAAGCATATACACACACCAGCCACCGCTTCAGATATGAGTCACAACAAGTATCTCGTGCTTAAGGTGAGATGGTACGATGGTACGCTTTAAATCACCTTAAACCATTTGCTAATAAATAAAAATAAATAAAATTATAAAAATAAATATGAAAAGATCATCATTTACACGTTTTCAAATAAATTTCTGTTCAAGTTCGCGATCTTCCCGGTTATCTGAAGTTATGACGTTAGACTTCGTATTGTCAATTGGCAGAGAATTGCCATGTGATGAGTCACTCACGTTTTTAGGCGAAAGTTTTGATACAACAGCAACGGCAACGTGCGCCGGAAGCTGTGGCTTGCGTTTACGTGCACGAGACAACGAGTCTTTTGTGCCTGCGAAGCGTAAATATGACTTATGCTTCTTCTATGCATGCCATGCTGTGTTCCCAGCTACGTCACTTATTTTATCAGCGCAGCATCATGACGTGTTCTCTCTGCTACGCTTAAGCGTGGCAAATTAGGCGCGAATTTGTTACAATTCGAAAGCTTTTGCTTCACAATCAAAGCCACTGCTGAGACTGACTTTCGTCTTGATTTCATGGGAATTTCGTGTGACTCACCACACTCCCAATTAAGTATTTTATTGCGCTTTATTAATTCATTGTTAATATATTTGTTTACATAATTTAAATCGTTTAACAAGTTGTCAAGTTATAAGTTTATTTTTAGCATTTTAATATCTTCAATATCTTTTTTTTCGGAAAAATGAAGTAACAATCTGTGTCACGCAAGATAGACTGATGAGTCTGTTGACTTATGGGTTACAGTTATTGATAGCTGTTTAGAATGAATTAAATAATGAAACGAATTCGAAATTTGAATAAATTAATTGAAATTGTGGATAATGAATTAATTTTAAAGTCCTTAAT